CCCAAAGGCCGATTTCAAGTTTCAGAAACGAGAAGTTGGTGCAGTACCACACAGCAGCACGGATATAATACCCTACGGTCCCCCCTCGCCCCATCATCCAAGCTCAATCTTTCTTTTCTGTTTTTTTTTTTTTTTTTTTTTCAAACTAAATCTTTCATCACGAGCTTGTAGATAAGATCGTCATGATGGATATACTTTTTTCTGTTTTTTTTTCTTTTTCTTTTTCTTTTTCTTCTTTTCTTGGTGTGTTCTATTCAAGGAAAGAAATCAAAGTACATAGGCAGCAACATGGACTATCTCGCATTGCCACACCACTGTAATGTTTTGTGAAAAAAACTTACGACTGCATGTTCCTGCAATGAGTGGCCAGATACATCCATTACTGTGAATGGGGAAGATGCAAGGGTACTTTTTTGTTTCTACAGCGGTGTGGTGAGGGGCATACTTTCGAAGTGTCCATATACAATCTAAAATTTTTGTTTTTCTTCTTTGGAACAATTGCGCCAACTTTGACTTGTCTTTTTCATCAGCTCTTTTAAAAAAAAAACAAATTAAGCGAAAGTCTGATATCCATTATATCTGGCCCAGTGCCCAAGGATCTCATCAGTTCACACTGATAGCCATGGATTTTTTTATTTTTATTTTTATTTTTGACTTTATTGCTGTAACCTTTTTTTTTACTGAGATCATAGTTCGCAGCACAAGAACTTCATCCACTGAAACTTCGAAAGTATGCCCCTCACCACACCGCTGTAGAAACAAAAAAGTACCCTTGCATCTTCCCCATTCACAGTAATGGATGTATCTGGCCACTCATTGCAGGAACATTCAGTCGTAAGTTTTTTTTCGTTTTGGCAGTGGTGTGGCAATGCGAGATAGTCCATGTTGCTGCCTATGTACTTTGATTTCTTTCCTTGAATAGAACACACTAAGAAAAGAAGAAAAAGAAAAAGAAAAAGAAAAAAAAACAGAAAAAAGTATATCCATCATGACGATCTTATCTACAAGCTCGTGATGAAAGATTTAGTTTGAAAAAAAAAAAAAAAAAAAAACAGAAAAGAAAGATTGAGCTTGGATGATGGGGCGAGGGGGGACCGTAGGGTATTATATCCGTGCTGCTGTGTGGTACTGCACCAACTTCTCGTTTCTGAAACTTGAAATCGGCCTTTGGGTGGGAAAATTGTTGAAATACCCCACAAAGTTGGGGCATTTCGTCACATACCCCTAAGACACAAGGGTATGCCGACATCCACCAAACTTCTGTATCTGCCCCCGTCCTGGTCATCACCAACTTAGCCATATGTCCTAGCCCTGGACTGCAGGGGTCGCAGAATAAATTTTGTGAACTGCAGGGTCCAACGGCCAGAAATACAGGGGCATATAGACAAGTTGCCCAGGGCCTGGTAGAAGTGGTAGATGCAAAAGATGGCAGGTCCAATTGGCGAGTGGGGTATTTCGCAAAGTTCCCCACCTGTCATAGGGGGCATTTCGACATATCCATGTCTTTTAGGGGTATCCAACGAAATACCCCAACTTTCAGGGGCATTTCAACAACTTTCACTTCTTTAATACCTTTCTCAGCCTTTTATCTTAGGCCTGGACCCCACAGGAGCGCGGAAAGGAAAAACATTGCCCCGAAACTGTTTCCAGGACCCCACAACCTCCAGCAGATGACCAGGAAAGGGCGATTTTTTTCCCGCTAACCGTTTTCCGGGACCCCACAGACCGAAGATTGCGACTTCGAAAAACATCGTTTTTCATCTTCACATAGTCCGCGGCCTGGAAAAGTCTCACGGAAGGATTCCTATCTCTACTGCACGTTGGTTTACGGTTCAGGTCTTTGGTGTACACAAACAATTGAGAACTACTGCATCCCATTCCAACCCTAGACGGCCCCCTCTGAAACCCTAGATAGGCAAAAGTTAAGACTGGGTTCAGGGTACGAATCCAAACCAAACACCTCTGTAAACTAATCAATGATGTGCAAAACCTCGTCCATCAGCCAAGAGCTTGACCAGTTGAGAAATTCCTCCCAAACAGGCAAAATATGTGTCATTCCACGAGCTTTCCTCGTCGACGACTTAGGAAAAATACGCCATCGAGATCTTGCCCATATCAACCACAAGTCCTGCAGTTAACTACGACAATCTACTTTCCAGCTTATCGTTTGCTCAAGAGATAACCCATAACCACCAATCGTTTTTTTTTTTTTCTTTCACTAGAAGTCCAGGTTGTTGTAGAGGTTGGATGCTAGGCATAATACAGGATGACCAAGGTTTTTTTTAATAAATGTCCATTTGGTTATCCAGATGGTCTGTGGCGGTCCCCATTCCTTATGAGACTCCCTCTCCAACCGTCCACATGCATTGTTTCTCCCCCGCGCACCCCTACTCCCACAATCCTCGCTCAGTGTTTCACCACTGAGGATTATCGCCCTCCTACCATCTTAACAGCGGTGACCTGACCGGACATCGGTTGTAGGCACCAGGGCTGAGCAAGACCTACCCAGCTCAGCCCTGATTGAAGCATAGGGACGCACCCTGTCATAGCAGGTGCTTCGAGTGCTAGGCTAGGCGCGGGCGCTCTTCTGCAAGTCCCATAGGTGGACCCA